CATCACAGTTGAAACGTAAAATTCAAAGAGAATCCTCTTGACTTAGATTTTGACGTCGATTTGCTTTCTTTCGATCCCAAAGTCATAATCTGAAAGAATTGATGAGCTAGACATCACTAATTTTTTTAAATGTATGCCTGTCCCCAGCTGGCTGCTGGTGGGTCTCAGAACGGGGTGTCTCATGCCTGTATCCTAGACAACAGCCACCATGTGCACGTGGTAAGCTGTCCCTGGGCCTGCCTGGGCTCTGAGGGCTGCTCCCTTTGGGGAGAATACACCAAGGGGGAGGTCTCCAGGGCTGGGCAGGTCCAGGGCCCACCTGCGGCTCACATTGGGCAGTGAATGGGATTGGGGAGGGGCGCGACCTTGGGCCTGGGAGTTTAAACTTCCAGCAGCCTTCCGGCTGCTGGTGGGTCTCAGGATGGGGTGTCTCATGCCTGGGTCCCAGAAGACAGCCACCATGTGCACGTGATAAGCTGTCCCCAGGCAGCCAGTATGCCATTTGGTGCCAGGCTCTGCCTGTTGGCCGCCCAGCCGGGGAGCTCTGGGTTTTGGTTCTTTGAGCCGCTGCTTAGTTAGCTCCAGGTTGAACCCATTGTGCTTCTAGGACATGAAGCATTCGTAAAGATTCCCATTGGCAGTAACTCTTCCTTTGTAAAACTTGCAATCACTGAACAATGCTGACCACCAAATACCAGTCCATGCAGAAGCTATGGCTTGGGGCTTGTCCTGCACAATTATATCATGTTACCTGACATGATGATGGATCAGGAGAAGGGTTACAGTAAGCAAGCCATTACATTAACTAGCACTCAAGAACCATAACCGGGAGTAGATTCTGTGAGGGATGTGTGGGCCACATCCTGTGAAAATTCTAGCCCCACTGCTTAGCTCAAGAGTTGGGGTGGTGATAGACTAGATGTGACCATGGAGCCTGCCATCAATCACAGGTAAAGGAACCCCCAATAGTCTGGACTGGTCAGGGCAGCAGCACCCAAATGTGCATTCTGAATAGGGTGTGGGGTGGGCCGGCTGCAACGCACACCAGCTCATACAAGGCCAAACGGAAGGCCAGACTGCGCCGGGCACTGGCCTAAACCCAATGGCATGTATGAGAACTGGGTCTGGGAGTGGATTAAGTGGAGCAACTTGGGAAACTCCCTTGGCAAATTGTAACTCCCACTGGTGAACATGTGGTCCAGGCCTGGGGATTGGACAAGCTGGGAAAATTAGCTCCAATGGCTGGGTAATGTGTCAACTAGTAATGGAACAGACTGGACCGAACAGGACTGAGCAAACCTTAGCCCACAAGCAAAACTAGAGACCAGGACGGAGCACAGGTCATGCTGAGCTAGGCTCTTGTACGTACTGGTGTGCATGAGCCAGGAATGCTAAGCCACAGTGTTGAAGGCAAAGGTCAGGACAGGTAAGGGTCTGTGCCAAGCTGAGTCAGAGCAACCACTGGCATGCGCATGATCTATGGCTGCGAATAGGCCTGGTTGGGGAGCTAGGGGACAACCCCAGCTGGGTTGAGGTCCCACCAAGGGGCGTGTGACCTAGAATGGGAGCTACGTTCTGATCTGGAAACGGTTATAGTCTCCCTTGGCACAAGTGTGGACTGGGATTGGATGCACCGAACTGGGCCGGACCCCAACACCCCCTGGTGTCATGGAAGACTGGGATAGATGTGGGACAAACTAGGCAAGGTCTCTACCCCCTACTGAGCCATATGTGAGCCATATGTGGGTATGGACAAACCATGGTTGGGCTGAAACATCCAACAGCAAGAACCAGTTTGGGTTGAAGGCCAGTCAGGAAAAGCCACTGTTCCTGCTAGGACAGGAGGTAGACTGAGTAGGGTTGGCTCATGGACCCACTGGTAAGCGTGAAATCTGGCATTGGGAGAAGTTCTGATGGAGGAGCCTGGGCAACTGCTCTGGCAGGACACAGACCCGGCAGGTCAGCGCAAGAAACATGATAGGATACAGCCCAGAACAGGCCATGGAAAGTTTCCCACTGGCATACAATTGGCATGGGTCGGGGAAGACCAGGCTGAATCTGTTCACGTCATCTACTGGCATTCCAAGCATCAGAACAGTGTGTGTCAAGCCAGGTTCGGTCGCAACAAAGACTAGTGCACAATACGGAATGCCAAGGTGAGGTTGCCTGTACCAGAAGGGACCGCAGCGCCCAACCAGCAAGCATGAGAACAAGGAAGGGAGGCGAACGAGCCGGCAAGGGGAATAAGGGAGGCTTCCTTTGCTGGACAGCTACTCCCACTGGAGAGTGTGGGCTGGGATGGGGGCAGACCAGACTAAGCAGGGCTACAACACCTGTGTGCCTCATGTGGACTAGATCAGGGAAAAGCCAGGCTGGGCCGATTATTCCTACTGGTGCAAACAAAATTAGAGTGGGAGTTGGTTGTTTGGGCTTAGCTGCAGCATCAGCTGGCAGAAGCTGGCACTGGGGGCTAGGTCTGTCAAGTTAAACCACAGAACTACCTGGAGAGAGCACAATCCGGGAGTGGGAGAGGCCTGGGAGGGAAATAGTGGGCTCATCCATCTTGGGTAACCAATTCCATGGGAGGGCACGAAAACCAGGACAGGGGCTGGGGTGGAATGGGGTGTGGGACAGACTGGATTACTGCTACACATACTGGCAAACCAGGGTAGGGGCGGGCCTGGTGGGGGTTATTGCGGGTCGCTCCAACTAGGCTGCAGCTCCCACTGGTTTATGTGAGGGCCAAGTATGTGCTGGGCAGAACCAGGCTGGACTGCAACACCCATTGGTCCCAGTGGAAGTCGGGAGTGAAAACACAACCAACCCAGGAATTGCAACCACCAGCTGATCTGGACTGTGCCGGGCCCTATACTTGCTAGCACATACAAGAATCTGGTTTGAGTACAACTCAGATAAAGTTTGTTTGGAGATCTCCCCAATCAAAATGTTGGACTCTGAACCCTAACGAAGAAAAGAGAGAATATAGAACAGGTCAGCCAACCATCTCAGCTATGATGGACTATGTCAATCAGTGGATTCTTCAAGGACCTCATAGTGCTTGGAGTGGCAAGATTGGCAGCGATTCATAACTGTTGAAATATCAAATCCACTTGAGCAAGAACCTCAGGGCATACCCTACATGTGGGACTTGGGGAGGGTAGGAAATTGGGTGTACCTTCTCCCTTAATACCCCCTTTAAACATGAAGGAAACAATATGCACCTGCTGGGACCTTCTGGTTCAGGAGACTCCACACCTGCTTCCACTGCATCTTAGGTCATGGAGGCAGCACCCCGTGGGCACATCACGAGACACACTCTTGGAGGATCAGCGTCAGGTCTGTTTATTGCACACATGCACACAGCTAGACCCTCGTAGAGGCCGGGTGAGCTGCAGAACTAGTTGCGCACTAGGAAAAATAGCTGAGGGAGAGCCTAGCCTCAGCCCATATCTGATCAGAACTATTCAGTCTGTGTCAGGAGGTGGGACTGAGAGGTGTGATGGGGTGTGCCCCTGGCTGTCACCTGCTACCACGTGGCATTATAAGGATTGGAGACACTAGCATATCTTACATATTAATGAGTGATCCTTGTTTTCAAGACGTGTAAGTTACAAAAGTAACAGTTGTTCTAGGAATTCCAGGTTAGGTGCTTGGATCCCTGGCTCCAGCTTCCTGCTAATGCAGACCCAGGGGAGGCAGTAGCAGTGGCTCAGATAACAGGGTTCCTGCCCTCCACGTGAGAGTACTGGATTGGTTTCTGGCTCCTGGATTTAACAAGGTACAGACCAGGTCACTGGGGGCATTGGGAGTGAACCAATGGATAGGAAGTCTCTTTCTGCTTATCTCTCAAAAAAATTCCAGTTGTATATAATTCCATAATGCAGAAGATAAGTGTCCCTGTGATTCTCCTCTCAGGATAACAACGGTTGAGTATTTCAGATACTTGTATGGTTTCCGTGGCAGACCTAGCTGGACTCCTCCCTCATACATTACCACCAGCGTCAGCTTTCTGCTGCTGTCCTGACTGTAACAATGTGTGGGGACTTCCCACTGGTGGAAATATGAATCCACATAACTAAGAAACACCATTCTGTGTTGTCAGAGTCATGATATGCAGGCTAAGCCCCTGCCTGTGATGCAGGTGTCCGTCCAGTAGAGGGGCTGGTTTGAGTGCTGGCTGCTCCACCTACGATCCAGCTCCCTGCTAATGTGTCCAGGAAAGCACTGAAGGATGGCCCAAGTGCTTGGGCATCTGCACTCACGTGGGAGACCTGGATAAAGCTCCTGGTTCTTGCCTGGCCCCATCCAGGCTATTCCAGCCATTTGGGGAATGAACCAGCAGATGGAAGATTCTCTTTGTTTCTCCTCCTTTTTCAATAACTGTGCTTTTAAAATAAATTTTTAAAAAGTCTTTTTACAAATCCACCATTCTGCAGATGTAACAGGTTTTTCATAGCTGATGGGATTTGTGTTCCTCTCTTAATTTTGTACCATGATTAATGTTACACTGAAGATCCTTGAACTCCTGGATATTTCAAATCAGGTTGGAAAAGCGGTTTATGCAACACATGGTAGAATCCGCAGCTGAAATTGTGAATGAAGCCCTCAGAGGGTCAGACTGGGATCTCGGGAAAGACAGAGAAGTGCTACTGTCTGTGCTGGAAGCTCACCCTAACGACCCTCCCTCGTGAGCGATTGAGACTCATTCCTGGAGAACCCAGGCAGGCAAGTGAGGAAAGACAGGGCACATGAGGTCAAACAGGCAACGGACAGCTGCAGAGACCAGCTCGGTTGAGCAAGCATCCTGATGCCACCACCAGCACACACTCTTGGGCAATACTCGTGTCCTGTAGGGATCAGCGGCTTCTCCATTCCTGTGATTCTCTTCTACTCCAATGCCACGTTTACTTTTCCAACTGTGGTGTTCTAGTTCTGACACCTTCGGTTTGTAGTCATCCCAACAGCCATATTTTAACAAAACACACACATGGACACATCAGTTTGTGTTCTAATTTTTCATTTTGGAAAAACCTGTTCTTAGCCATTTAAGATAAGCTGTGGAATCCTATGCTCAGCAGTCGCAATGATGATGTCCTGCCAGGATGTGGAAGTTACTTGGAGCTGGTTAACTTGGGGACTCTGAGGCCTTCAGACAAATGTGGCAGAAACTCACCTGCCCTTCCCCCTCTCTTGAGACATCTGCCTGGAGGACAGAGCAGCAGTCCTTCCTGAAAGAGAGGAAGCATCAGTGAAGGGGATGAGTCTAGAGCGTCCTTTGTGGACATGCAAGTTCCCACCTTCCCGCTTACATGCCTGGACTTCACACCGGACCTCAAACTCAGAGTGTCTACCTGCAAAGTAAGCTCCGGTCCCCAGCCAGCTCGTTCCGACTCTCCCTAGTGGGGAAATCAGACTCTTGGGTCACTCAGACCTGAGACCCATGTCCTTTTGCCCCAGTCCCTCATCCATCCCTGCACTCTCCCTTCTCATGTCTTCCTCTCTGGATGAAGATCCTTCCAAGTGCATCCTAGTGGTAACTGCTTATCCCTGGAAAGTTTGTGTGTTAAGGTAGCTAGGGCTGGTCCCCTGTGTGCACCTGACCATGGGCAAGCACAGTATCTGTGCAAATGCAAAGGAGAGCCTGGCCCCCAACAGTGGCCACAGGTGTTTTTAGAGGGGTCCCGGCAGGTGGGTGCTGAGCAGGCGATGATCCGATGATCCAGTAGAGGAGGGGAAGTTGTCACAGGTACCTATATCTCCCGCTCATTTCTTTCCCACCCTCCCCACCCAACACTGGCAGACCACGTCCCTCCTTCCTCGAACCCCTCGGCCTGCACATTGGAAGCTCTCACATTATTCTCTCTGCCCTTGAAATTTCCCAACACCATCACCCGTCTGCCTCTGTTGCCTGTCACGCTTCTCTGGCTGCACTAAGCTCCACCTCCATCATGCCGGTGAAGCTTAGTGGGAGTTCCTTGGTCTTTCTGCTCCTTGAAATCCTTCTCATTCCTGGAAGGCTTCCAACCGCCTCCTGTGAACTTTTGCCCCCATTCACCTCCAGCAGCTCTCTGAGGGACTTTTCTCCACAGCGGATGTCCCGTTTCCAGTTCTTGCCTCCTCGTTTCCCTTCTGCTGCAAATTCACTTGGGGTGAACCAGGCACCTTTTCCATTCTGAATACACTTCTCCAAGGAGCCTGCAAGGGAAGGATGACCCATTTCAGGATCCAGCCCTATCCTCTCCTGCATCCCAAGTCTTTGAACTCCTGCTCAGGGCATCCACCAAGAAAGGCTGGCCCTGTGAGGTGGGGGCCTCGAGCAAGAGGTCCAGGTTCCTTCTCTCCTAACCTAAAGGAAGCCTAGGAATCTGCTTGGGTGGTGAGGGAGTCGACAGAACTTCCATGTTATGTGACACCCACACGCCCCAAAGCGCTCAGCGCTGCTGGGTGCATTTGGATTTCCTTGTGGGAGTGGGGCAGTCTGCTGGCCAGACACAACATGGGAAAAGGGCTTTAAATCTCTTCCCCAAACACTTGCTTCCCTGCAGCCATTTCTGGAACAACGACATGTAAGGGCCCTCTCCTCCCTCTGACTCCCCCATGGTAGGATGCGAAAGAGCAGGAGACCATAGGCCTCACCTTGTCTCATTTTCTTTTTGTATAAAATCCCCTTAGCCTTTCCACAGGTCACAGGAAGCTTTGGACAGCGAAAGTCCACGGTGTCATCCTCATGGTTTTCTGAAAGTAGAAGTTGACCTTACTCAGTTCTAGCTTCCTCTTGCATTGTCCCCTCCAGGAAACCCAATCAATGGGGATCAGTGGTAATCAATGGTATTGGGAAAGATAGCTTAATTTGCAGGAGGCATTCCACTTTGAGCAGTGGATGAGCTATCTGCCCAGCGTGGTGTGCCGTGCTCCCTACTGATTACAGATGTCTCAAATGGCAGAGCAAAAGGTGGCTTTGTGGGTTACCATGCAGAGTTTCCCCTTTCCTGGGGTAGGTAGGTCACCAAAGCAGGTGGTGTTTTTTGACCTGAAAGCTTTCAAAGCCAAGTCTATTCCTAAGCCCAATTTCCTGGACTGTTCTTGACAGTCCTGCATTTGGCTTATTCATCGTAGCAAATTGCACCCAAGAGAGGGGACCCTGTGGGGAAAGTGCTGGTCGGGGGCGGGGGTGGGCTCTGACATCAGCCAGCCCATGCTCCTAGGTGAGCGTCAATAGGGACTGGTGTGGAGCACCACAGTGAGTGAACAGTGACAGCCTGCTGTGAAAAGCCAGCAGTTACAGATGAATGAGTTCATGGAAATGAGAAGCACAGGCAGGGAAGGAAATTAACAGAAAAGCCTGACCGAGTCCAGGAAGTACAAAACGGAAAAGCACCTAATTAACAAGGCCGGCAGAACAACTCCAAGAATTCTTAGAAAACATAAGGGGAAAGAGCCAGGTGAAAATTAGCTGTGGAAAAGGCCTGGAAAAGATCTGGGGGCTGGGAAGCGACACTAGAGGGGATGTGGAGGGGCTAGGGAAGCTCGGGGGCCTGGAGGAAAAGCAGCCACGAGAACATACTACCAGTGGCAACGTGGACCATCCTGTGTTGACAGCTGGGGGAGGTGGGGCCGGGCAGGGCTCAGATTCACAGAGAAGGAGTGGTGGTCAGCTCACTGTATGGGGAGGAGTTGGCACTACAAGTGAGACAGGCCAGACTGCAACGGTCACATCAGAGACACCTCAGCAGGCTCCCCAACACGTGATCGGCAGCAGCACAGAAGCCCTGTGTTAGAGCAGGAGGCACGGCCAAGGCCAAGTGCTCACGGGGGGAGGCATGTGCCCAGTGTCCGCCTGCATCCCGGATCCCCCAGGGTTTTATAACCCACGTGTCTGGGCTCATTTGCCTTTTGGTGCAAAGGACAAAGGGCTCAGATCACCTGGGCTGATTGTGGCTGATGCAAGTGCTTCAACTTTTAATTGAATCTGTAAAATGGGTTGGTAGTACCAGTTACGATGAGGATCTGATGGGCTAACTGCAAAGCAATGTACATATTTGGATTTTTATCAGGGTTTCTGCAAAACGTTGTGTGGATTGTGCAGGGAGCAGTGTTGAAGAGGAAGATGCTGGGATTTCACCTCAGAAACACACTCAACATGTGTGCTTAGCACAATCATCTTCCAGCAGGGAGTAGCAAAGGCCTTGTCTTAAAGAGTCAGCTCTGCGAGAGGAAGGCAGGGGTGGGGAAAGTGGCACTCGGTGTCCAGCTGACCTAGAGTGGGCGTGCCAAGCTGGTGCAGCCTGTGGGGTGTCAGTGCTGGCGAGGTCCTGGCTGTAGACCAGGGGGCCAGGTATGTTATGCTCTTCCCTGCTGTCCACTCCTTCCACTGCACACTTACAAGGCCAGTGCTGCCCGATGCATCAGCAGCAGAACCAGGGCACTGCCCACCTCTGCTGAGGAGTCCAGCAGCTGCCAACACTGTGAGCCAGGCATCCCAGGGCATCCATGAACCCACCGTCCTTGCATTTCTGCCAACAACAGGCTGGAGGCAGCACAGGCTGGGATCTCTCTTTGAGAAGCATCTGTAGGACTTACAGTGGGAGCAAGTGACAGAGGGGACAGTCAGCAGCAATGATGCTGAGGAGGGAAGGTGTGGAACACGATGGGGGCAGTGGGAGTAGGGACACCAAGAGGCCACGTGTGGTGCACAGAGGGGAAGCACAGACGCCAGCCTTAGAGAGCTCCTCTCTGCTCTGAACTGACATGGAGGCGGAACCCAGGGCAGTGAGGACAGGGGTGGGAAGACAGTAGGGGACCAATTCCAGGGAGGACCCTGGGTGCACCCACCTCTCTGGAGAATATTTTTCTGGATCCTTTTTGAACGTGCACGAGTGTTCGCTTTCTGTTTCTTTTCTAAAGAAATGAAAACATACCATAAACAAAGATGTATACACCTCATATGATAACAATTTTAATTTTTTGCTGTATTTCTATAAGTTAGGGGGAGAAAGAATATATATATATACATACAGTACAGAAAGAGAGACATGACAGAACACGAATTTTCACAGTAAATGTGTACTTACGTATTTAATATAAACACTCGAAGTGAACAAAAGGGACATGTAGTTTCTGAATATCACACAGAAGGGCTTTAACGGCAGCAGAACGGGGCATGGAGCAGCAGTTCTCAGGGCAGGCGAGTTGGCCTCCTACATCAGCATGTGGCAGGGATGGGAAATCCTGCTGCCACGACCACCGGCACCTCACGGTGAAGGACAGGGGCTTGCTAAGCAGCCCCTACTGCACAGGGCAGTGAACACGTGAGCAATTATCCTTCTGTAAGGCCAACTGTTACATGAACCGCACACTCATACCTGCACACTACAGATACACTCATTTTTCCAAATTAAATTGTCCCCGCAAGCAGAAGCTTCTCACAATAAGTGAAAGGGGTTAATTTTTAACATGAACAGTCATATAAAAATGGGCAAACATAAGCAGGTAGTCTATGAAAGAAGAAGATTCTGATGACAGACTTATAAAACAGGTAAATTAGTAAAGACAGGTTAGACGTGGGGTACAAGTTCCCAGTGATTCAAGACCAGTATTGGCAACTCCAGCCCGACAGCCTGGCACCTCTTCATGTGAATAAAGACTTAGTGCAGCACGACCCTGCCCACACCCTTGTGGGTGTGTCCCTGGCTGCCAGCATGCTACAGAGACAGAGCTGAGCAGTTGATGCACAGACTGTGGGGCTGTAAGCCTGCACTATTTATCATCTGAAACTTGGGGTTGTGGGGGAACTTGCCATGCAGCAACTTTTCCCTTCTCCCTCATGCTATTTCTTCATCACAAGGTAGATAAGGCTCAGCCCCACATGACTGACATGCTTGGCTCTAGTGGCTGACAAGCCTCGGTTTAGCACATTGCTGCTTTGGGGCCAGAGAGAAAAGGAACAGGAGCTCTTCAACCTTTGCCCAGAAACTGACCCTGTGTTATAGTCCACCTTTCTCTGGCTGACTTAAGTCACATGGCATCTCTGAGTGCACAGCGTGGGTGTCTGAAACCTTCTCAAGGGACTGGGGACGGGATACTGATGAGCAGTGAGACGTATGCACAGCCTACTGCCGTGTGTGTGCCCACGGCACACAGAAAGTCGGAGGAAAACCGTGGAGAGGCCAGGAGTAAAACCTCATTATTTCTAGTGTTGGTGAAAATAAGGGCTTTTGTTTGCTCATTGGGAGTGCAAACTGTATACAAGATGGGTAAATGAGGAACACTCTACAGAGTCCTTGACCAAGACACTTCACTTCTAGAAATGAACACTGAACAAACAATCCTGAAAATACATCCACCCTGAGGACTGGAGCCACTTGCGATCCTGGCATGAAAGAGTTGATCACACTCAGTGAAGTAGTGGTGCCTCCATTACTGCAAATGGAAATAGCAGACACTGGGGAGCAGTCCAGTGAACACACATCCAAGACCAGCTGCTCCCTGAGGATGTCCTGCCAACAAGCTCTCTAAGCCCGACTGAGCCTTGTCCTGGCTTCACGTGCCTCTTGGCTGTATGTCTTCCAACAGCTTTACGCTTCCACCTGCTCAGGAGAGACCACGCACACAGAGACAGAGTCCATCAAATGGCGGAGTCCATCGCAGCTTACCCTCCAGTCTGGACACCCGGGTACAGTTCATTTTTGCCTTCTTGTTCCTTGTCATCACCCCTGAGTTTTGGATTGGATCCCCTTGCCTTCTAGCCACCTGCTCCAGCTTCTTTTGCATTCCATGCCCAGATGAGACAGCGCCTGGGCCAACAGTGATTTGTGATTATTCTACATTTGGGCCTCCAGCAAACCTCTCCGCACCCCGCACCCAATTCGTGACTCCCTCCTTCTCAGTCCAGCCACTCTCCCACCCCTTGGAGATCCATGGACCTTTCCACACCCCGCACCCAATTCGTGACTCCCTCCTTCTTAGTCCAGCCCGACTCTCCCACCCCTTGGAGATCTATGGACTTTGCTTTAGCCTGGTCATTTCTCTATAATTACTTCTTTGTTTTCTGCAGTGTCTTCCTTTCTCCCCTAGACTCACTGTACTTCTTCCAGTTTAGCTTTTCCCCCTTTATGTCCTTCACCACCAACATTCCATAAAAGAAGGACTGGCATCTACCTGGCTCACTCCTGAGTCCCCATGGCTTGGGCTATAGACCTGACACTTTATGGATGCGCTACAAAACAGCCCATCTTTGAAAATACAAAATGTGTATATTTTTCATTACTATAAAGTAGCAGGGTTCACGGCTATGAAATCAACAGGATTCAGGGAAGGGCAGAGGCTGGCCCAGAGCCGAGGAGTCACTGCTCATCCTGGCCATCTGGGAGGCCTCCAACACTGAAGCACAGAATCTCCTGAGTGGTAGGGGATCCCTACATTCCCAGAACCACCTGTCCATACCAAGAAGCGCTTAGAGGCCTGCATGTCAACTTTCCTGGAAGTCATCAGTAGAGGAAAAGCAAATGGCAGAGAGTAGGTTTCCTCCAGCCTAAGGAGGCAATGGGTAGGAAATCAGAAGGTAGAAAAGGAGGGCAGGGGAGGACGAGCAAGCAGAGTCCAGGTCACAGCCCGAGACTAGTGGTGCTGGAGCACCCTGAGCCTTTGGAGGTGTCCTCAAAGCAGTCGAGCACCTATCTCGACCATGGTTCGGCAGCTGCAAGGAAAGTTCTTCCAAGAGTCCCTATCCTCCACACGGGCAAGGCATCCCACATCTCCCTGACAAGAACCCCCGAGGCCCTCAGCAAACAGCCAGGAATGGGGGAAAAGAGGATGAGGAAACAGAGTGAAGAGGGACAGAATCTGGGGAAGGAGATGGAGACAGGAGGGCGGCGAAGCAGGCAGTTTCTTCAGCATGTTTCCTACGCTGCCAACAGCACAACCTCCATGCACTGAGACGCAGACAGGGCAGGGGAGGGGTTCTGAGAACTAAGTGACTCCAAACGTAATTCCGGCTTGGGATTGGGCGCCTCAGTCCTGCTGCAGCTCCCTGCTCTCCCTGGCTGGGACCCTGCAGTAGACACAGTCTTCACCTCGATGCTCCCTGCTGCCTCCTGCCCCCACCTCCACCACCAGTCCTTCCTGGGGGCAAGAGACCAGAAGGCCGGGTTTGCGTCACTGTGGTGCCAGGTTCTGTCTTGGTGGGAGATGTCTGCTGATGGCGTGGCTTGGGCAGAGATGGGCCAGTAAAACTGGGTGACCACACTGGTCGCTCAAGTGACAATCAGAACACTTACAGGAGAGTAGTGACACTTCACTTTTCTTGCTTACCTCCTGGGGTTTTTGTTTCCTCTTGTCTTGAATTTGAGCAGCTAGCTCTCTTTCTTTTTTCCTCTAAAAAACGGGGAAAAAAATGTTTCTGTCTGCAAATATTGATTATTAAAGGCTATACTGTGAATTTTTTTTCTTAATGTTCAAAAAATGTATTAGACTGTCCACTGGCTGGTTTACTCCCCCACATACCTGCAATGGTCAGGGTTGCACCAGGCTGAAGCTGGAAACTCAGAACCCAACTCAGGTCTCCCCATGGGTGCTAAGCTGGGGTTGGTGCTGCACCCAAGCCCTGCCATGTGGGTGCTGCTGTCTTCTTTTTTCTTTTTTGAAAGCTTTATTTATTTATTTATTTATTTTTATTGGAAATGAGGATTTACAGAGAGGAGAGACAGAAAGATCCTCCATCTGCTGGTTCACTTCCCAAGTGGCTGCAACGACTAGAGCTGAGCTGATCTGAAGCCACGAGACTCTTCTGGGTCTCCCATGCAGGTGCAGGGTCCCAGGGCCTTGGGCTGTCCTCCACTGCTTTCCCAGGACACAAGCAGGGAGCCAGAAGAGAAGCAGAGTAGCTGGAACATGACCCAATGGCTACATGGGATCTTGGTGGGTACAAGGCAAAGACATTAGCCACTAGGTTACCACACTGTGCCCGATGCTGCTATCTTCACCACCAGGCTAAAGGCCCACTCCCTCAATGCTTTTTAAACCAAAATTGTCTGTTTTCTCATCACTTTGTGGAGGCCTATGTGATACCAGTGCTTCTCTTTTACCTGGAAATGAGTAAAGATGTAAGAGAGCTATACTAGAAACTCACACTTAGAATATACCAATTTCAAATTAATAACCATTTTTTAAGACTAGAAGAAGAAAGCAGAAAACGATCATCAGAAGCCACGGACATGGAAAGGTTTTCCAAGCTGAAATTCAAGCCTAGGAATCAAAGACTATGAAAATGAAGTGAGAAAAACTGCACAATATGTAACATAACAAGTCATCATCCTTCACAGAGGAAGCAAAAAGCAAGTACTCTGTGTGGAGCAGAGACCAGCATTGTAGCGGGTTAAGCCACTTGGCCCACCACTTCGCACTTCTCTCTTGCATTTCATGGCTGCCCATGGACCAAGAAGTGATCTGTGGACAGTTCTAACTGGGGTCCCCAGGAAACCCCTTCTTCCCCTGCCCGATGACCTTTCTTCCTGAACCCAGATCCCTCCCTTCAGGGGCTCTTTACTTGCTTTTCTCTCACTATTTCTCCATGAGTATCTCTTTTTGGTTGTATATAGGTTTTCTCCCCTGAGATCATCATCTGCTTTCTCTCTCTGTCCAGGCACCATGAGTGGAAATCCACCATATACAGTTAGGGAAATTTTAGAGAAGCCTTGTCAAGTTACCTGCAAACTTGATCTATAATTAACCCTCTTCTAGAAACCACCCCTCCCATCCCCAATCAGATCCGAATCCAGCCTGTTTATAACACTGCCTGAGTGTCCGTCCTCAAGGCCACGCTACTCCACTATGTCCACCTCCACTCCTTCTTAACCCAGCAGCCACTCTGATCTTGTCAACTTTAAAACCAGACCACGTCACTTCACGGATTCCACCTGTCCAGTGGCTTCTCACTGCATTTGAAATGAATTCTAATGCCCACATCTTGGCCGGCCGACCCTGTGTGAGCTCTCTCCAGCTCCCAGCTCCTCCCCTTGCCTCATCTTACCTCTTGGGAGTCTTTTTTTCTGACGTCGCTTTTTTGGAGTTGACCAGATACTCCTTTTCTTCTTAGTTCCTAAAAAGAAGGGACAGAAGACATCTTTTACATTCACAGGTGTAGATCTTCCGACCTTCAATGTCAATGATGTTCAGCTTCTAAGAAGGAGCAAACTTCAAAGACAGGGGTCAAAAAAGGGGAATTATTGAACATTAGAAATGGAGCTGGGTCTCCATTACAGAACCTATAAGCTGGCCCTTTGGAGTGACCAGAATATGTGGCAGAAGAAGCCACCAGACACTGGTGGAGGAAGGATTTGAGATGCCAGAGTGTTGGGTGGGTTGTCTGTTGCCTTTAGCTACTGTCAAAGAACCTAGGATGATGGCAGGACCTACAGTGGGAGAAACACAGCATTTGATGACAGTGGGAGAAACACAGCATTTGTCTTTCGGGGGATGGTGGGGAAGCCGGCAGGTGACAATGATGGAACGAAGGGACTTTCAGCTGGGTGCTGGAGTCTCCAAAGAGGGGACACAGGACCAGGGTCCCAGATTGGAGCATCAGGCAGCAAAAAGCAAACTGCAGCCTGCCTCCCACCAAGCAGCCTCAGCAACAGCAGGGAAGGCCCAGCCATGTCTTAGAGGAAATGCTGTCTGCTCAGGGGAAACACCCATCCATTGCAGAGGTTGGTGCAGCTAACTGTCTAGGAAGCTGGGGAACTGGGAGACCAGTGGTGCCAAGGGATGGACATTCAGAATTCCCTCTGGTTTCCCTGTGAGTCTCTTCACTGCAAGAAGGTACCATGAGTGGGAACAATGGAGAAGCTGTGCTGGCCATCCCGAAGCAAGACATGGCAAGCTATGATAAGGGAGAGAGAGCAGCTGTGGGTCCCCTGACACCTGCAGGAGGAAGACAACTCTCACCTTTCCTGGGAGATGGGCATGGGACCTCCTGGGAATCTTCTGGGTCATCTGGCTCTGGAGAATCCTCTCTTTTCACTGACAAGAGAAATGCACTTTAGGCTCAGAACATCCGGGGGTCGGGGAGGAGGCAGGATGATAAGAAGGTGAACCTGCTGGCACCACACCCCCAGGGGTCCCTGATTCTGCCTTCATTTTGCCAGCCTGTGATGGTGGTTCCTTGGGTGACTTGTCCCAGTGACCCAAAGGATATAGTGAAGGGATATAGTGACCCAATATAGTGAAGCCTTAGTCTGACCCATTTAGGGGAATTGCTTCAGTGGAAGCGGGAAGACAAGCCCACGGGTTCTTGGTGGCTGTGCTCCAGGGATGCAGCTAAAGGCAGTGGGGAGCAAGATGTCAAATTCTGATGGCCAGGTAGAGGGCACCACCTTGGCCTTGTGGAAAATATGGTATTGCTGCGATGTCTACACATGCTGTATCTGTGACTGTCTCACCTTGAGAAACAGTAAAGGAGACTAAGTGCCTTGTATACCATTAAACACAGAAGGACGGCTGAAAAACCAGGAGCCTTTTTCTTTTTCAACAGCAAATGTACTTGGACACAAGGTCCTACTAGTTTCTGGTTGCAAAAGACAGGACTGGAAAGTTCCTCTTACGCAAGGTTGCCATCTTCCTCTTGTTTCCCAATACCACGGACCTGTCTCAAATGCTGGCCTACTTAGGAGCAGGTGAGAGAGGGGACAGGTCACCATTAGATCCCTGAAATGAGGACATCCACAATTATAGACCCAAGTGACCTGGAAGTGACTAAGGTTCAAAGTCAGGGTGGGTACCAGCAAGGAGGAACAGCACTGCCTCGTCACTGTTGGGCCACTCAGGACTTGCTGGCTTTGCTTCTTCACAGTCATCTAATTCCTTGCAATATAAATCTGTTTTCTTTTTGTTTCAAAGGCAGAGAGAAGTAAGTCTTCCATCCTGAAACAGCCAGAGACAAGCCAGGCCCCAACCAGGAGAGAACTCAGTTGTCAAATCATTGCAGTTTCCAGGCCAGCACACAGGGACCAGGGTAAGGAGGAGAGAGAACATCCAATTCCAACTGGTCCCCACGATGGGGCGGCCAGCTGCCAAGGCCTGGCCCATGGTGGGAAGGAATGGGCAAGTCAACAGTCATTTATGTTCCATGAGTCATTACTGTAATAATGCTACTTAGTATCTGACAACTGTGAGGATGGAATCTTCTCCAATGGAATCCAGAGCTCCTGGCATCAGCCCTGTCCATCGTCGGCTGTTGCAGCTTTTGGGGGAATAAACCAGCAGATAGAATCTCTCTCTCTCTCTCTCTCTCTCTCTTTCTTGCATGCTCTCTCTCTGTGTCTTCCACTCTCTGTAACTCTGCATTTCAAATAAATAGATCTTTATTCACAGTGTTCCATTTGGGAACACTGTCCAACAATATCGCACTGCCAGAGTTAATGTGAGCAGATGCTATCATAGTGATGATTTGGGGCAATAAGTGGCATAATTTGGAAGCTCAATCAAGTTTGAATGCTCTTTCAACATTTAGTAATCTCTCTCCTTTTTAAAAAACAATTCTTCTAATGTTAGTCTTGCAAATTAAACCCTACTAAGACAAATCAGGTTGAAACTCAAAGCTCCCCCTAGTTATCCTGGGTCAAGGAACCAAATAAGGCCACCAGCTCGGGAGGTGCACCACTTACCTGACCGTCCAGAACAGTGTGTGCAAGGCTGACTTGCCCTGCAGTGGGGGCTGCTCAATCAGCACCTCTGATTCTTTTTCTTACTGTTTTTTTTTTTTTTGCCATGCCCAGGTGGGTCTCCTGGGGTTTCTGCCACAGCTTCCTGCTTGGCAGGTGCATGCCATCCTACACAGCCACCTGGAGCTAAGCTAAGCCGGTCCCAACCCACATTACCTTGGGCAGTGTCCAAAGGAGGGCTGGGCAGCCTTTGGGGGTCTTCCTGCTCATCTCTTTCAGATATTAAGTTGGCGTTGGTCACTGCATGGAGGAAGGAGACCCTTACAGGTTACAGGGACTGGGTGGGAGAGGAGAGTGTGGCAAGAACACTGGGGCAGACAGAGTGCCAAGGGCTAAGATAGGTGGCTGGTGTCCTCACAGTGGGAAGTGGGTGCTCCAAGCTCCGGACCTCCTGGGACACTGCCCATGCTCACCATCCTTTCTGGAAGGGGCGGTGCGTGGACAGGCAGGACCATGGCAAGGACCACTCCAATGAAACACAGCCCAGGGTCCCCAGGGTGGGCACACATAAGGGTTGGACAGGGTTTGTTTCTCACCTGGCTTTTTCCTTCCTTCCAAGATGTGCACAGGCTGAAGCACAGAAGTGTCCGAAGAGCTGGGCGAGGACACTCCAAGGTCACCAACTCTGCTGGCACTGGGCAGCTGGCCCTGAGGAGGCGGCTGTGGCAGGGGCAGCAGCAGGGTCTGGGGGCAACTCCCTTCAGTGGGGCCAGGTGGGGCTTCCAGCGGGATTGCTGGGCGTGGGTGCCACTCTCCATAGGAAGTACAGACTGGGATGGGGAAAGAGCATGTGGGTCACGTGGGGGAGGGGATTTTGCTGACGGGAGGATAGGGGTGTGCAGTTGTTCACTAGCTTCCTGGGTACAGAGAACAGACTCAAGGTCCTCGGCCCACCCGTGCCCTTTTCTACTGTACTGGATAGGGCCACCCAGTGCTGCAAAGCCCTGATCTAACATGGGTGTGGTTTCATACCCAAAGCTCACTTTGCCTTTCTACACAAGCATTTAAGCTTTTTCATTTCAGTTTCATAGAATTAAATCAATCACGTACATGCAATAATTTTAATAGAAGTCTCTGCTTTTAGAAATAAATACACAGGGCATGCCTCTCTGAGTAAGTACAATACAATAAAAATTCCCTTGCAGGGGAATGAGTCCATTCATATTCTCATGTCTGCAGATTCAGCTCCTGGGCCTCCTGCCGTTCCCTCCCATTGGCTTACACTGCCCCTTCTCTTACTTTACTTCTCCAGGACCCTGAACTTCCTCCCTACTGTTCCCCTGCACGGTTGGTCTTCCCTTGTGATTCTTCCCCATCATTTTTCACAGAAGTAAAATTGTTTCATGCAGTGAACAGGAAAAGGAAAGGAAAGGTGGATTTGGGGAAAGAGCCTGGAACAAAATAAATGAGGTTGAGCCCCATGGGGTCGGGGCTGTTCAGCCATGGGGTTCCTTTGGCTTCAACATGCTTAGCAAAGCTTTGCCTGTCCCGGCTTCTCCTGGCACTGCCCTGATGCTGCCGAGAGAATGGGCTCACCTGCAGGTATACCTGCACCTGTCTGGAGCTCAACCTTCCCCTTGGCTGCCCCCTTCTCTGACACTGTGACTGTTACCTGGTTACTAGTCTCTTGGGCATCAGCTTTTACTGTGTTCAAACCATGTTCCTCGTATCACCAAAATGCCCAAGTGTTCCCCGTTTCACTATGTTGAACCTTTCTCACCACAAGATCTTGTTTTGCACAAAACTGTTTTTCACTGTTGAAGACTGATGGTTCATGTCACCACTGACAAGAGCAAACTTGGAGAATCCAGATGTTGGGGAGTTAGCTTCTTTACACACCCCCAGTCTCCCATCGGGCTGAACTGACACCCTGACGGCTGGACACGGCTCAGCTCCTCACCTCTCCTGAAGCTCGTGAGAACTGCTGCCAGCCTGGGGTATTCACACAGGTTGATGTGGCTGAACAAGGTGCCCAGCAATGCTGGGGTGAATGTCTGCTCCAGCCTGGTAAGAACGTCATACACCACTCTGCTTACAGGGACCAAACGACGACACTCCTCCACCGAGTCCTTTCAGAATGGAGCAAAGAATGACAGCCCATGCTTATCCAAGCAGACAGAGAGCAAATCCACTCACACACGTGGGGCTCTGTCCATTGTAAGAAAGCTAGTTTACCCTTTCAAAAATTTTAACAGAAAACACAGTGCCAAGTCCCCTAAGGTGAAGTTTTGTGAAATTTGATATCATATACACTTGAGGGAAGAGAATCTCTTAAAAACAATCTTATTTGTTTGAATGGCAAAATGATAGAGACAGAGGGACAAGACACAGAAAGAATCTTCTGTTTGCTGGTTCACTCCCCAAATGGCTACAACAGCTGGGGCTAAGGCCAGGCCAAACCAAGAGCCAGGACTGCGTCTAGCTCTCCCACATGGGTCAGGGAACTTGAACTTGAGTCATCCTGTCTTGCCTTCCCAGACACACTAGCAGGGAGCTGGACTGGGAGCAGGGCAGCTGGGACTTGAATAAGTGCTCTGAAATGGGATGCTAGTGTCACAGGTGGAAGCTTAACTTGCTGTTCTACCATGCTGGCTCATGGAAGACAGCATTTTTAAGGAAGTAAAGTAGCATCATGGGATGCTGTCATGTAGTTAATTTTTGAAGGCTTTGGGCTAGAAACTTTTCCTTTCTTGTACTTGAGGTGGTCTAAGTAGCTTCCAGACTCCCTCTTGGTGAGATGAAGTTGAGAGAAACAGAACAGAAGAGAACTGATAGCAAACATGCACTGAACCCCTTCTAGGCTCAGGGAGCCTTGGGTATGGCGTTGTGTGTGAGAGCAGCAAGACACGGCCCGTGTTGGAGGTGGGCAGTGTCAGGTAGAGAAGATGAGCCCTGAGCAATTAAACACACGTGAAATGAATTCCCAAGGACGGCTATGCATCATGCTATGAAGGAAAAGTGCACATAGCTATGGGAGAGATGAATGACCAAAGACTTTACAGACGAGGGCTAAAGAGACCTGTGCGGGGCAGTGATGACGGAAGGAAGGAGCTGCAGCAAAGAAGGCCACCCAGGGCAACCGTTCAACACCTGCTAGCACCTATGAGCAATCGCACTCCTCCCGAAGACAGGCCCATTCAGAATCTTGAATGTGAACTTAACAATGTTGAGATGTGACCATGAAGGATCAGAGTGGGTCCTGAATCCGAGAGTCATCGAAAGAGAAGGAAAGCAGGGCAGACATGGATGACAAAAGGACACGGAGCTGGATGTGTGTGGCCATAGGCAAGGCGCACCAAGCAGCCACCAGACACCACGAGGGAGGCAGGGAGTGGAGTCTCATCGGAGCCTCCAGACAGAATCAACCCCATCAAGTCTGGACTTGGGATTTCCGGCCTCCACACCCATGAGAAGGAGTGAATTTCTGCTGTTCTGAACCAGCTGATTGGAGGTCATCCACTAGGGCTGACGCTGTGGCACCCTGGAAGCTAATGCCCTCTGAGTGACGCACAGACCCCATCTACGTGAGCATGAGCAGGCCCAGACTGGACCTGCCAGATCCCAGAAGCCGCAAGGGCTGGGGGTTTGAATCTCTGTGATTGGACAGCCCTGTTGGGGTCTGGGCTGCCAGGAGAAGGGGTGTACCCGACTCACCGCAAGCACTCTGTCAGTGATGAAGGAGTTGTCCCGGAGGCCCTCGAAGAACGGAAACGGCTTGTGGATGGCATAGGCGATCTCCATCTTCTGACACATGAAGTGCTGAAAAAGAGCCTCTTCCAAGGCCGCTGGCACAATGAACATCCTGCCGGGGGCTGCCTGTCAGGCACGGAGAAGCCCAGAGTCAGAGGGGTGTGCCCAGCCGCTCTCGGCATGGCCCAGCCCCTGAAGACGGGCAGGTGATGCCCAAGTCATTCCTCACTGCAATGTCTGCCTGAAACGTGCACGGGCAAAGGAAACAAGGACAATTTCCAGGAACTATGCATGCCAAGAGCAGCTGACATCATGATGCTAAAATTCCAGATGCTGAGGCACATGTGCTTTACAAAGCTATTTATTAAGTGCCTCCTGTTTACCAGACTTTGTTCTAAGGGTTTTTTATGCAGTAATGTATTGGATCTTTTTAAAAAATATTTTATTTATTTGAAAGGAAGAGTTTTATATAGAGAGAGGAAGAGACATACAGAGAGACATCTTGTATCCACTGGCTCACTCCCCATATGATCACAACGTCCAGGACTGGGCCAGGCTGAAGTCAGGAGCTCCTTCCTGGTCTCCCACGTCGGTGCAAGCGTCACGTACTTGGGTCATCCAGGAGAAATAGCAGGGAGCAAGATTGGGAATGGAGCATCCAAGATTTGAACCAGTGCCCAGATGGGATGCCAGCAACTACATACAGGTAGAAGCTTAACCTGCTATGTCACAGTGCCCACCCCACTAACCTGATCTTTACTAAATGTTTGTAGGATGGTTACTATGACTAGACCCATTTATATTGTTGAGGACACTGAGCCATAAAGAGGTTTTTTCTGGTTTGCCTCTAAAATGATTTATTTATGGGGTTAGAACGGTGGCACAGCAAGCTAATTCTATTTGGTGTGGGTATTCCATATGTGTACCAGTTCAGTCCAAACTGCCCCATTACTTTCATTTTTCAATAATAAATTCATTTTATTTTTGATGATGTTTACATATTTGAGAGGGATGCATGCCCATACAGATCACCGATTAGGGTGCAGAGGGTTGAGGCATGGGGAAAGTGGATGAGACAACTGCTTCTAATCTTTTTTTTTCTGTATCTGTGGAAAGTGGAGAAGGAAGAGGTGAGGGCCACTCCCCACAGCCCAACTGCATCAGTACTCAGGGATTGCTACCCAATGTCATCCCAGGGTCCCCAATGTGGAGCATGTTCTGAGGATACTGCTTAAGTGGTTTTAACAGTTCTGAGATGCTGTTGATTGAGTTGCTCCAGGGATAAGGAATTCCTTCCAAGGTCCATTGGCTGACATAGTCCACTCAGAGTCTCCATTCACCCAGACACTCGCTATCAAAAGCTTGTCTGGGAGAGCTGTTTAATTTGTTCTGCCATCCACGGTACTAGACATCCTCTAGGCCTAAATGAACTGGTTGCCATGTCCCCCGTGAGCAGGTGGGCATGCCGTTCACCACACAGGCCTCAGCAACCATGGAGACCCAGCTCTGACATACGCACCCCAGGGTCAGACCACACATCTGTGATTTTCACTGTGGCTGGAGTTTTGAGTCCATTGATCCAGCTGGGGGCTCCCCAAAGAAACTTCATCTGAGGTGACTTTGGACCTGACTCCTGTGTGGGTTTGGTTCAGTCTGTCACCCACATCAGCCTACACACACACTGATGGTTTCCGTCATATGGTCGGTTCTGTCTCCAGCCTATCTCATATGCAAACTAAGGGATGCTGTAGCCAAGGCCAACCTTCATGCACACAGCTGCTCTGCTTCTGATCCAGCCATAGGCTAACGGCCTGGGAAAGCAATGGAGAATGACCCAAGGACTTGCACCCCTGCACCTATGTGGGAGATATGGAGGAGTTTCCTGGCTCCTACCTTTGACTCCAATCGGCTCTATCTAGCTGTTGCAGCCATTTGGGGAGTGAACCAGTGGATGTAAAATCTCTCTCTGTCTCTCTCCCTCACTCTCTGTAATTCTGAATTTTAGGTAAAATAAATAATCTTTATTTTAAAAGTTATTTATTTATTTGAAAGGCATAGAGATGGTGAAATCTCCAGTTACTGGTTCACAAAAATGGCTGCAACCATCACAGCTGGGACAGGTGAATGCTGGGAGCAGGAACTCAACCCAGGTCTCCCAAGAGGGTGGCAGGGATCCAGCCACTTACCATGTATGCTTTTCAGGGTATACATTCACAGGAAACTGGAACCGGAAATGGAGTTTTGACGTCAACGTGGGTGTCCTGGTAGGGCCTGCATGTGTCCCAAGTAGCACTTTTACCAAGATGTCCAACACCTGCACCTGTGGACAGGGAGGATGACTCCTGCTCCAGCTTGTGTGGCTTATAGAGAACAGAAGGGAAAGAAGCATGCTGCCCACACTTTGCACAAGGGAAGGAGACAGGGGAAGGAGAGATAGCACAGACCTGGGCAGGAGTGCAGGTCAGTATGATCGCTGGCTAAGAAGAGGCGACGGCCCTGCAGCTCCACACAAACAATGCATTACCAACAGTGCGCAGAGAAAGACATCTCATGGTTTCTCCTTCTTACTCTGCTATGAGCCACAGAAAGGTGAAGTCACCAGCTCCAGGCTTTCTTGGTGGCCTAGTAGAACTTATTGACCTTATGGTCCTACTTTTTATCACACAGGACACTGCTGTTCAGAGCGGGGGCTCCTTTCATGATAGATGGGATCTGACACATGAATATGCAAAAGGTAAACATCCAAGCAAAGCAGGGAAACACAAAGACACAAACAGGCTATTAATAAAGAGCTAAGTCCAGCACTCAACAGCTGCATGAGAAACACACTGACCACCAGCAGTCAGAAAAGCTCAAAGGAAGACAGTTTGAGAATACATGCACTTGTCAAGTTGGCCAAGCTAGGAAACCCTAGTCCTCATCACTAAATTTAGAAGCTAATTTAATGATCACCCCCAAACGAAGCCCTTTGAACTCCTGTTTCTAGAAACTGAACTCGAAGCAAGAACCATGAACGTGCCTACAGAAAACACAGGGGAACCTTGTGGCAGGCTTCCAACAGTTACTCAACCAATCACTGGAAAGGACTGGGAATGCAGGAGCAGCCTGAGGGCGGGGTCAGCGTTTCAGGGAAGATCCAGGGCACAGGACACACTGCTGCAAACGCCAATTTAGGAGAAAGGCAAGTATGTCAGCTTTGCCTTCCTGTGCCCCCTTTCCCTTTTATGTGCTCCCCAAAGTCCCACCTATCCTCTCCCACCCTTGGGACAACCTCAGAATCCAAACACTTGCATTTCAAGCCCCCAGTGGCTGCTTCCAGAAAGTTAGTCCAACAGCCCTAGCCACCAGTCACGAAAAGTTAGGGGCCCGAAAACTCACCTGTTGCTGCTGTTGCAACTGCTCCTATGCCCTTCTTGACCCCAGGGAACTGAGGCCCGCAAGTCCTGTGGATGGCTGACCCAGGCAGCCAGGGCCTGCTTCTGAGAAAACGAAAGTGCTCTTAGGAAGTTGTGGGCGGGACCAGTGCTTGGTGCCCAGGCCGGCCTGTGGGCGGGGCCGGGCCGGAAGTGGGGCCTGTGCAGCTGCAGGTTGATGCTGCTCAGCCCCTCAGGGTCAGCCCTCAGAGGGGCTGAAGCGGGTGGGGAGCCAGGGACCCGCTCGGAGTGTTGGGAATAGGAAATCCACCTTTGGGTGTGTCTCACATGTGGCCCAATCTGAAATGGCCTGACTCACCATGGCTTTTGCTGGTGGGTACTGCAGCCTGGCTTGGTCCAGCCTGCCCCTGGGGATTTCACTTTCTTTGGACTGCCTGCTGCTGCCACTGCTGGGAGTGGACCCACTGGCTCAAAGAGTCCACAAAGACTCTTCACACACTTTAGGCAGTGTCTCTTCCCCCAGTCCACCAGAAAGGAGGGCAGTGGCAGACACAGCAACAGGGGGGCTGTTTCCAGGGACCGTGCCCTCTGCTTGCCTCGAGTCTAACCTTTCAGGATCCGGGGCAGCTGAACTTTGTGCAGAACAAAGCAGTCTTTGGAAGTCAGCAGAGTCATGGGGAATTCTAAGCTCCTGGCAGCTGGAGGTGGCATGGGAGCAGCTGCTGAGTTGGAGGTGGACCCCAAGTCTTCTCCTTTCCATTCTCATGTGAGCAGCACTGGCGGGCTCAGGGTCAGGGGAGTGACCCTCCCCCTGCAAAGGGAGCACTTCCAAGCCCTGCTTCAATCACACAGACATAACACCAAAGCTTGTTGCTAAAAAAAGAACTCAGCAATCTATATCCATTTCCAAGATCTACATGTCTGGAGAAAGTTCCAGAAGATGGTGTGACTCATGCCTCTGCCTGCACGATGAGCATGCAGATGAGTTCCTTTGCACCGAGCTGCTTTTCAATCCCAGCCTCTTTCCTGGGTGAAATGTGAGTTCTTTGTCTTGAAGACCCACTGCTGTCCCCAGAAACTTGTTCTAGAATGATTCCATAGTTATTAGCGTGCATAACTACAGCCAAGTCGGAGTCAAGGCTGCCACATCAATGACACTAAAACAGGTGCTCGACAGAACCGAGATTTTAATGCAGGGGAGAGAGAGCACCTGCCCTAGCTGTCCCTTGGATACTTTTGTCACCACGTTTGAGACGCTTCTGGAAATCTGCAGATACCCACATGGTTGGATGAGGAGTGGTCTGAGTGCATGGTGGGGTTGGTGCAGGGAATGCAGCTCATGTTGGAGAACCACAGGGCAGCATGCAGCGTCGGTGGCTTTCCCTGCTCCCAGTTCCTTCTCTTTCCATCGAGTCACTCTGCCCCTCACTTCCTGCTGCACCAGGGAAATTGGCTTCCCTCATCCTGTAAGCAGCAGTTTGGGGAGGTCAGGATGCAGGCTCCCTACAGAAAGTGAGAGCGAGTCGGGTGTCCCTGAAACCAGGACCTGAAGCTTTCACACACAGAGAACTTCATCTTAAAGTCATACTGTGCTGCCTGCCCCAGCCGACGGACACTCCAGGGAAAGGGGCCTCATGGCTTCCAAGGACTGTTCCCTATGACATCTGAGTATCCTCCTGCGGACCCCGAACCTCACCATGGCCCCTGATAGTCTGCAGTGTTTGTAGCTCAGGCAGTGTCCATCTCACAGTGGGAGCCTGCTGAGTTCTGACCCTGGAGGGCACTCAGAGGACTCAGCACTGTCATTGTCCTAAGCTATGAGATCATGGGCTTTGGGTAAAGACCCCTCGGGCTCAGCTCCCAGCGTGGGCCGTCGCTATGAATCCACATTGCACGCTCCTTGCGGGGGAGGAGGGAGATGGGGACCCTCTGCTTCTCTCTGTGTTCTTGGTTGGGAGACATCCTCCTGAGGATTTAACGAACCCAGGAACCAGATGTGTCTGTACTATACTTCCTGTTAGACCCAACTCTCCTGCTCTTTGGAAGACAACGTTTCTGTCAGGTTCTATCAGGGCAGGACCCGAGTCCCTTTAAAGTGGTGGCTGCTTCAATACATCCCTAAAAATAAAACAAAACCATATGCAACAAAGAAAAAAGAAATCCTCTCCAACTTGTGAGAAACAGCGTGCACAGCTTTCCTGTCACTCCAGATGGTTTGTTAACTCCAGTGGAGATCTAGAACAATCCATGCGTCTTCTAGGAGTTTCTTGGTTTCCAAAGTCCACTCTGGGGGGCACAGAGTGCCAGCACTTCCGATCAGTGCCACCATTCTTCCAGGGTGGCGCTCGCCTCGGGGGCCCTGAGGTCTCCAGGACCAGTTCTGGCCATGGGAGGGACAGTGCCAGGGGACAGCTGAAGAGGGAGCACCACACCTAGCAACGTCCGGTGTGCGGTGTCCAGGAGGCGCCTCCCGTGCATGGCACTTCCGGGAACTCCGCAGGAACACCCGCCTGAGTTACCGGAAGCAGGCGGCCCTGGCGGGGAGAAGCCCGAAGTGACGCCACAGAGTAAAGCGACTTCTTGTTGGTTATCGAGGGGGCCGGGGAGAAAGCAGCCCCACCAACGCTCTCCTTATTCCAACTGGGTATGCCTTCTCTGTAGCCCTGGGCGTGCCTTCCTTGTAGCCCTGACACTGTGGTCAGCCTCGGGCTCCGCAGGCCTTCTGCTCCCATCAGACCTGAAACCCCCTGATTCTGCGTGACATTGAAAGTGGATTTTTCCATCCTCAAGTCTTCAGGTTTCCCCTGAACCCACAGGCTGGGGGTTGGACAAGGGCTACAGTGGGGTGGGATGGGGCCCATGGCAGGCGCTCTGTGCACGCTTTCAGAAATGTTTGCAAGGTCCCGTGTCCAGCCTGGAGCTGGCCAGCTGTTTCTGTTTTCTGATTTCTCGGGAAATAGAAGAGTGAGCCCTTAGCTCCTTTGTTGGAGGATTGTCCGAATGGTGAACGGCCAGTGTCAACTCCACCTGCTCAACCACCCTCGTGGGAAAAGGACCAGTTTCCAACATGCAGTTCATGCTGCCACAGCTCAAGGATACCATTACCGTGGTCACACCCAGCCCGGAAACCCAGCCCTTGCACACATATGATCCCTTCACTCACAGCAGTTCACATCTTTGGGCACTGAGGACCGCCCAGCATGATGTGTGGGTAAGGGGTCGTAGCCATGGAGAGTAGGCCATGGGAAGAGCAGAGGGTCTGCATTCTCTCTAGAGTGGGATGGTGTCACCTGCTGGACAAGTCCACCAGCCATTCTCAGCTCATGCCAACCAGTCACTGGGCACTCGCCCCTGCTGCCCAAGGAAATGGGTCCATCTCCAGAGAGAAAGCCAGGAGTTTCCAAGGTTGATGTCAATGTTTTGAGAACCAGCACAACCCCGACCAAAGAGCCGTTGTACCCAGAGACCCCTGCGGCTGCCAGCTGTCGAGATGCCGTTCTGTTTGCCAGCCCACCAGCACCTGATGAACCTCGTCCCAAGGTAAGCTCACAGTTCACCCGTACCCTCATCAAAGGATGAGGCCCAGGAAATTCAGCAAATACCTGGGATTACCCGATGTGTTTCCTGAGCCACTGTGTAACCTGGAGCCATTTGGGTGCCAGCCTGCGGTGTGCGTAGCCACATTGGTACCTGGCAGGCACACGGGGGTCAGACATGGCATCTGCACAGTGATGTCCCATCAGCTTTAGAGAACTTGACTTGGAGTTTCCCAGGGACTGGAGCTGCTAGAGCTGATGGTCTCAAGAGGCCCACCTCACCCTCTGCGCTGGGGCAGTGCGCTTTCAGTTAGCTCCCATCGATCACGATTTCCAGCAGGAGCTGCTGTGGGCAGGGCAGAATCTGCTCTTCCCTGCCTGTCTGCTCTAGCCATGGTCAGCTGGTGTGTGTCAGACACCCCGGGCAGGCTGCACGCAGACTCCTCTCCCCTCCCTCTCCCTCTTCCCATGGCAGAGCCTCTTGACGGCAACGCATCTCCTCTCATACTTCAAGAGTGTCATGTTGGCTCATGGGCCTGGCTTATAAAGCTCCACTCTAACCGCTGAAGCCAACCTACTCTCTTCCCAAGGCTCCCACGAGCACCCCGAGGAGCCCGCGGTTGGATTGTGTCCTGTCTCCCCTCTCTTAGTTTCAGCAGCGTAAGACCTCGGGGTCTGAGCTCCTGAGGTCACGAGAAAAGTAGTGAATGTATGGCTACAGCCTCCTTTGTGTCTGGAGTTGTCAGCAGGAAATGCGCAGTGAATTGGCTCTGCGCCATCCACTGTTGCTGCCTGCTCAATCTTCTGCGCTTACTCATCACTGAGTAAAATCCATGTGCTGGGGAGGGGTTCCCACAATTAATTTGCAGGGCATCCAGGAGAGCAGGAAGATGTGAACTCTGGGCCACCTTGGGACTCCCAGAAGAGGGAGCTCCCGGGAGGCAGATGGCCCTAGAGGGTTAACAAGGGGTGGAGTCATGGTACTTCCTGTTGGACTGGAACCCTGAATTTATGCGGATGACAAGACTGCTGATGCTTTAGAACTGCTCTCAGAAATGTATTCTTAAGTTGGCCCACATGTGTCTAGGGAAAAAAGAAAAACCAATGCTTCCTTGCAGGTCCTGTAAAATTGCGATCTTGCAGAAAGGATATGTGGTTCCTATTGCCACTACCAACAGAACCCAGTTCAAGGGAGATGGTAATATCGGGCATGGCCACTAGAGGGGAGTGTGGGAGCTAAGCTGAGGCAGCAGGCCTTTACTTGGATGGATGCTCTGGATGTGCAGGGTCTGGGTTGGGCACAGCCACTGACTGGTCAGTCCTGGGGAACACGCACAAGGGGCTGCGTGGGTATGGGCCGCAGAGAGTCGGGCTGGTCGTAGGTAGCACCAGGCACAGGGGCTACATAGCAGGAAAGGATGTGGGTAATGATGCAGCCTGGGAAAGGGGATTTGGACTGTGACTTGGGGCCAGCCCCTACCTCGGCTCCCTCATGAGGACAACACACTTCTTGGGGGCTTTTTCAGAAGGGGGATTGTGGGGGTTGCAATGCTCCCTGGGGCTTCCCTCCCCTTCTTATACCCAGATCCCATTGTTGGGAGCCATATACATTATAGCCATATTAAAGCCATTTTGGAATCTAGATCTGGCTCAGTGAAAAGTACCAGCTAGCAAAGTGCAAGGGAAACCAATTTTTAAGACACCCTGCGGTTTACAAGTTATCTAGCAACCCACCCAGCTCTGAGCACACTTGGTGCTTGTAACAGGATGTTGGCTTGTGCCCTACCTGCTGGCATCCTCTTGTGAGCATAAGGGGGGGGCTTTGGGAAATAGCTACCCAGAAAGAGTTGTGAACCATGCCCGCCTCTTGCAAGCATAAAGGGCTTTTAGAAGTAACTGTCCAGAAAGAGCTGTGAAGCCATGTCCTGGACCCTATTTCCTCTTTCTCCTCACCCATAGATCCTGTCTTGCAGACTATAAAGCCTTGTGTGAAAATAAAATTTGGTCAGCTTGATCAGACATTCCTGTCTTGCTGTCCATTCCTGTGTCTCTTGTCCTCCCATTCTCTCCTAGGTTGGCTGTGACCCCTGTTGACTGTCCTGCTGGACGGGACACCCCATAGCCCTTTCCATGTCAGCCTGGGGCCTCTTGCCAGCCATCCACTTTCCCAAGAATTTGCTTTCCTGTAGCAAGAAGAATTACTTTTCCATTCCCAGGCATGATCCAGCCCCTCACAAGCTCTTCCCCCTGTGGTACCCAAAGGCCCCCACTCCTGTACCCCGTCTCTGAGTTTCCACTAAGCAGATACCCGTGTGGGGGTGGGGTTGGGAGAGGAGGAGCCAGGCTCAGTGTCACCCCAGATGTTTATCTCTCTCTCTTTTAAAGATTCACTTTCTTTATTGGAAAGACAGATTTATAGAAAGGAGAAACAGAAACTGAAAATTCTTTGTTTCCCCAAGTGGCCACAATGACCGGAGCTGAGTGGAACTGAAACCAGAAGCCACAAGTTTGCTCTGGTCTCCACATGGGTGCAGGATCCCAAGATTTTGGGCCATCCTTGATTGCTTTCTCAGGCCACAAGCAGGGAGTTGCATGGGAGGTGGAGCAGTTGGGGTACGAACTGATGCCCATATGGGATCCCAGCACGTGTACAGAGATTTAACAACTGAGCCACCGTGCAGGTCCCCATCACAGGTTCTTCTAAAAGCTGCAGAGTTGGTACTGCTGTTCTGCTGAACCGGGTGGGAAGGGGAGGATTTCTGCACAATCGTGTGATTCCAAGAGGCTGTTACTGCCCACCCCTGTCTCTGCCCACTTGGGGCACAAGCAGATGACAACCCACAGAGAGAGCCACCTCTGTGTGCTTGAACACTTAGAGTGTCAGAATGTGCCCCTCCCCGACCCGTTGCATCTTTTCTCACACTGATTTCCAACTAGATCTCCAAGTAGACATAATCAAAATGAGCAGACACGTGGGGACACACACACACCAGCTTTATTCTTGCTAACAGCGCTTGAGACATAGATTAGACAGGTGGAATAGACAGCCCTAAAATAGACTCCAGAATTGGGCTGATCCACAGAGCCCCAGGCTGCCCCACACCATCAACCAACATCCCCATCCCCACCCTCACACCAGCCCCTGTCACTGTGCACTTGAGCTTGGTGGTACCCTGTCCACAAGCCCTCCCCCTGCCGCAGCGAGAGATGTCTACCCCAGAATAAGACACAAAACAGACCATGCGTGTGCACCTGCAGGTGCAGAGGTCCTGTGTCCTGCCGAGGATGTCCTGCCCAGCATCGGCCACTGTGTCCTAAGTTGACTGATCCCACTCCTCTGTGGAAAGCGAGAGTGGGAGTGGAGAGACAAGAAGCCCTTTCCTCCCTGTGTTTTCAAGGGTGATGTGCAGGTGCTCTTAAGGCAGCGGAGTGTCATCAGATTCCCTGGGAGGAGTTGGGAATCCATTGCTCTTATGCCTTAGCCATCCACCCCCTGCTTCCCTGGGCCCTGGGTTCTCCACGCCCCACCCCTGCTACTTCCAGTCCCTGCCCCCTCGGTTCTGTCTGGACTTCAGCTCCCCAATGGAGTCTTACAGCTGCATTTGCTCCCCTGTGCTTTGATGCCTACACCCCACATCAGATCACGGGTGACTTCAGTGTGGAAGGGTGAATCGGCTGCGGCCCTGGGTAGGGAATCAGGGGAGCAGCACTATGTACTGGCTTGCTTCCTACCTCTAGGGGCCTCCTCCTCAGCCCTAGCTGGGGTTGCAAAGCAGCCCGCAGTCCTGGTTGGTACCTTGGGGGCCCTCTTGCCCCAGCCTGATCACAAGGCATGCTGGTGGAGTGCCCAGCACCAGGCACCCTGTGCTTTCCACACGCGGGCCTGCCCATCAGCACCACTCTTGGTGCAGCCTGGGCTTTACATGGGCCCGTGAGAAGGGCTGACATTTCTGCTTTCCTCCAGCCACCCTGCCCCACAAAGGGGCAGATGGGCAGTCAGCACCTCCGTTTGCTGTGTGGACTGTGCCCTGCTCCTGCAAGGCAGAAGCAGCTGAGGACAACTTGGGTTCAAGGCATTTTATCTTTCTGACTTGGTATGCAAAAGTGGACTCCCTGGAGCTGGTCCTGCTGGCCCCGGGATCCCCCTTTCCTGTCCTCCAAGTGGTGTCAGCCACCTCTGAGGGCAGCAGTGAGGAGACAGCTTGTTTAGCTCTCAAGTTGTAGTTTCACTTCTCTTTTCCCCGTTTGGGTGGAGCCTGCTGGCTTCCCAGCCAGGCCCTCTGAGGCGGGGGGGGGGGGGGGGGGGGGGCTTCCTGCTAGGGCAGGGCACAGGCAGGGAGCCTGGGGGAATCAGAAGTGGAGCAGGCTGTTGGCAGGAGGGGACAGCAACAGCTCTACCAGGAGAGTTCTTAGCCACTTCCTTAGCTGTCTGTCAGTCCGCAGAGCAGCTCCAGTGTCCTCAGCTTCTGTGGTTCCTGGGGACTAGTGCAGATTCCCAGGAGATCAGGTAGGTGGGCTGAGGAGCCCGGTGTGCGGGAATGGGCTGTGTGGGGCAGCTGGGCCGTTTCGAAACTAGCAGGGGGCAGTGCGCTGTGAACACAGCTGGAGGATGTGTGACTTTCTCATTCAGCAGCTTCTACTCCTCTGGCCAGCCTGCCCGCAGACAGGGCTGTCCTGGTGACGGGTGCAGGACTGATTTCCTCGCGGCCTCTGAACGAACTTTCTCTAGGGTCCCTGCCTGCTCCTTCACGCAGGTCATGGCCATCAAGGAAGCTTAGAAAATAGCAAACATGGGAGGAAGCGCTTTGCCCATTTTCCAGCTTTGGGCGTGGTGGGTCTCACCCTGGCAGCAGGACCAGCCCTGGACTGACTCGGGTCTGAGCTTTTCTCTGGAAGAGAGGGGCCCGTGGGCATCAAAGGCTGGTGCAGGCTCAGGGGCTTTATTTTCACTCTTAACTTCCAGATGAGTGGCACTTCTGACATAGTCACAGAAATCGTCTCTTTTCCTGTAGTGGGCTCAGAAATAACATGGCCTCATCGTTTTGATTTAATTTTTCACAAAGAAACATGATTTTGTTCATAAAATTTCCAATAACACAGAGGTAGACAAGAGAAAGAAATGCTGTCGCTCCTTCCATTCTCAAGTCCTGCGATGTCTTGGATGTGCCTTCCGTATCTGTGCACTTAACATAAATAATTGGCTTTGCAAATATTGAGGGTGCTTCAAAAAATGGAATGAAAAAATAAAGTTTGGGTTTTTTTGATGCAGAAAATATTTGAAATCTGTATGTACAGGTGTCTCCAGGAAATTCACTGCAAATACAGGTTAGGAAAAAACTATGCATGAAATTCCAATGAACTTTTGCAGTCCACTGATAAAATTTACATATTCTCCATCAGTAATAAATGGGACTAGACTATGGGTATAGGGTCTGCATTTTTCATTTTCAATTATTTTAGCAGTGGAAATCTTAGCAGTCTTTGTGTTTATGTGTAGCTCTACCTCACTCTTTCTAACAGCTACATGACATTGCTTGCATAGGATTTATACATCCTTATTGTCAAACGAGTACCTGTGGATGAAATCTAGACTCTCGGTTGTTCACTTTGATCAACAAGCCATAGTGATGGTTGTGCTTCTCTCTCGCTGTGTGACAAGTATTTATCTTATGTCAAAAACCAATAACAGGTCTTTTTGTTTGTTTCAAAGATTTACTTAGTTTTAGTGGAAAGGCAGATTTACAGAGATAAAGAGATACAGAGAAAATAATCTTCCATCTGCTGGTTCACTCACCATGCGGCAGCAATGGGTCTCCCACGCGGGTCTTGCAGGCCTCTCTCTCGGGTCTTCCAGGTCTCCCGCATGTGGCGCAGGGTCCCAAGGCTTTGGGCCATGCTCAACAGCTTTCCCAGGCCACCAGTAGGGTGCTGGATGGGAAGCAGAGCTGCCAGGATTAGAACAGCTGCCCATATGGGATCCTGGCACATGCAAGGCAAGAATTTAGCCACTAGGCCACTGTGCTGGGCCCCAGCAAAAACAGGTCTTGAGGCAAGGTTAGAACATTTACTGGCTGGGTCAGTGTTTTTAGTAAGAGCAAATGAGGGAAGCCATCTCTCCCCACTTGGCCAAACTTTGCGACGGTGACATGTGACTTCTTGTTTCCATTTGTGTTTTCTGGTTGCACGGGCAGCTGGGGAGTTTGTGTGTGTTTAACAACCACTCAAATCCCCTCCTCTCTCGCTAGTTCATTCTTTGCCTGTGTCATTTGGGTTAGGCATTTGGCCTCCTGTTCAGGACATGGGAGGATTTGCTTGATATTCTGAAAAGCAGAAGTACGCTTTCCTCATCCTTTATCTTCGCAGTAGTCATGGCCATATTGAATACTCATTAGGGTTTGGTTCTTTAAATGTATATTCTTGTAGGAGTGTTTCTGAGCTCAGTGCTATAGTTCCGTGAATCACCCATGAAGCCATCATGTCAGCCACCGTGTGTTTGTTTCTCAGCCTAGAGTTCACATTCCTGCTTTGTTTAGGTTGTTGGGAGGCCTTCAGCACCTTGGGCTACCCTCTGTCCCTGTGCAAGTTTGCCTTCTCTGCCCCTTTGTTGTTTGGCATGCTACCGTGGCCTCACAGCCCACCTCGCCCGTGCTTGCCCGGAAGCTGGCTCTCATGTAACTGCCTTGGCTGAAAGTGAATCATCTCCCTTCTGGGCAGTTGGAAGATTCTTCTTAGGTGCTTGTTTCACCTGGGGGTGCCACCCGTCTGCACACTGCTTGCCAGCGCTGCCCTCTTGCCCAGGTCAGCAGAGGCAACACAAAGTAGGGACTTATTGGGTGCAGGTTTTTTTTTAGTAATATATGGGAATTGTGTAGTATGAAAAAATTCTTCATGAGCCTGGTATTCTATGGTATAGAAACAGTGATGGCAGTGGCTTGCCTCTTGGTCCCAATCCTAAATCATTTTTAAGTTGAAGAAAAAAATTTTTTTTTTACTATTGCACAAACAAGGGTGTTGCCTGCTGTTAGTTTTCTTTTAAAGAAGGTTTTCTCAAATGAAAGAAGTTTTACAGTTAGCGTTCAATATTTCCAATATGTAGTTTGGCTTATTTCTGCTGTTTCTCACTTATAATATTATTTTTTATCTGGGACTATAAAAGATGATATTTATTTGAAAGACAAAGTTAGAGAGACATGGAAGAGAGAGAGCAAGAGTGAGAGAGAGAGAACTTTTGTCTGCTGGTTCAATTGCCAAAGCGCAGCAACGGCCAGGGCTAGGTTAGGCCAAAACCAGGAACTTCTTCTGGCTTCTTTTAGGTCTCCCACACAGTTGCAAAACTGCTGTTTTCCCATGTACATCAGCAGAAAGTTGTATCAGAAGTGGAATAGCTGGGACTGGACCCAGCACCCACATGAGACACCAGCACTGCAGGTGTCAGTTTAACCCACTGTGCCACAGTGCTGGCCCTGTCTTTCTCCTCATCCTCCATATTAAAGCTTTTAGCAGCTCTTTTATACCGTCCTCCACCAATCACTTCTCCCCATGGTCCACTTGGCGCAACCTGATAGGCCAGTAGCAATGACATAATCGCAGGAAGGGCATCAGCCTATCCCTGTGACTTCCTGTTTATCTGCTGGCGAGACCAACCCCGCCTCCTGGCCCTGGGCCAGCCGCCATCTTGCAAAGGCCCTTCCTATTCCTGGGAGTGGCTTCCTCACCCCGCTCCCCACAAACATTGGATTGTAACAATGGACAACAATGTTAGCTGTGTAAGAAAGGGATGAGAACCTAGAGGAATGAGAACTTATAGACATTAAAGGACATTAGAAATAACTGGAGATCCCAAAAGAGAGAGTTGAAAATTGATCAGCATTTCATGTATGAAATGACATGGCCTGGGATGTGTGAAGTGCTGATCATATCTGAGACTGAGACTTGGAAAATGCACCAGTTGGTAGGATGTTGAAGCCTATATATTGGCTGGAAAAGTTGCAAAAATGGAGTCAAAGACGAGATGTTAGACAGCAATGTGTCAATATACTTAAAGGCCTGGGATCTATTGGATTTCCCAGTGGATATTCAAATTGTAAATTTCTTCAGCAGTTCTGATAACTCCAATGTTGAAGTTCTCAGTGAATAGGAAATGGTCAGTGCAATGAGAGAGGAAAGGAAAGAAAAGATTTTATAGGCTATCGAATTGGTTGGTTTACGTTTAACTATTAATTCCATGGGAAGTTTATTTTTACATGTGAAATGAAATGCAAAGCTGCTTTTAAAATCCAAGCATTTATGTAACAGCATTGCCAGACTAGTTTATCCTTTATTGCTTTGAAATAACATCAATTTTATATATTAAAGCATCTTGCAAGGAATATTTTACAAGGGGATGAGCTCCTCGCACCGTGGGTCAAGCCACCGCCATCCCATAAGGGTATTGGTTCAAGTCCCAGCGGCCCCACTTCTGATCCAGGTCTCTGCTGATTGCCTGGGAAAAGCAATGGAAGATGAGCCAAGTGTTTGGATCCCTGCCTCTTGCATGGGAGACCCAGGTGAAGCTCCTGACTTCTGCCTGGCTCAGCCTTGACCATAGTGGCCATCTCATTAGTGAACTAGCTGCAAAAAAAAAAAAAAACAAAAAAAAAAAAAAAAAAAAACTGTCACTGTGACTTTCAAAGAAATAGATCTTCTGTTATAAAAAGCTCAGGGAAAATGCTTATATGAAAAAAGCATGTGTTTCCAATAATTTTTGCACTAAAAGTAAACTAACCATTTCATTCCATGTTTTTTACAAACTTTTTGAGGTACTCTGAAATGTGAGTCTGTGCAGATGATTTCTGTTGATAAGTATTCTTATTTGATAAACTACTCTTATTTGTATTTTAATATTGAAATGACTTATTGACCATTATTTTAATGGGAAGTACAATCCCTTTTCATAGATCTTTTCAAAGCACAGTTGGCTCTTCTGGAGTTTTATTCCCTGAGAAAAATTTCAGAACCAATTGATAATGTTCTGCAGCCTGTCTAGCTGGGAAGCCATCCCGGGGCACCCCAACCTCCCCATCTAAGCAGTTCTGGCTGTCTTAGGCTGATGTGGCTCACTTCTGAAGCTGGACCTCTCCTGTGTTGGAATTGTTGTGGGCATAATGTGTGCTCTTCTTTCTTTCTGTCCTTCACTCATGAAGAATGCACAGATCTGCATATATTTTAGAAATATCCTTCATATCTGAAAGTCTACTCTCACAACTACCAAAACTGTGGCAAGCATAGAGGTTTACTATGAAAATTAGTCTACTTCTCTTTTTCCATTTTCAGTATTGCTAATGAGAAGCCTGCAGCCATTCAGGTTCTTGATCCTTTCTTTTGTATCACTTGCTTTTCATTCTTTGAAATTACCAAGTTCTTTTCTTTCATCCGTTGGTTCTGACATGTCTGGATCGTTTGCTTTAGTGTGGGTGTAGTGTTTAGTCACTTTTCTAAGTCCTTCAGGACTATTTGAGATGGAAATTG